TGCCGCCCCCAGCGGCCGGCGGCGTCGGGGGTTCCGCCGCGTCCCGGGTGCTCAGGAGGGACACGCGCCCAGACGGCGGCGACAGTCGGGGGAGGAGCCAGGAAGTGACGCTCGCCCCGTCGAGGAAACGCGTTTTTTTTCTTTTTCTTTTGAGTCGGAGCCTCGCTCTGTCGCCCAGACTGGAGGGCGGCGGCCGCTCCCGGCCCCCGCAGCCTCGACCCGCTGGGCTCCGGCGACCCTTCCGCCTCCGCCTTCCGAGGAGCCGGAATCACAGGCGCGCGCTACCACGCCCGGCTCCTTTTTTTGATGTATTGTAGAGATGCGGTCTCGCCAAGTTGCCCAGGCGGGTCTCGAACCCGCGGGCTCAGGCAGTCCACCCGCCTCAGCCTCCCAAGCGCGGGATGACAGGCTGAGCCCCCGAGCCCGGCCGGAAACCGCGTTAAAAACCCGGAGACGGCGTCGGGGTGCGGCGGGCGGCCTCGGACCCGGGCTCGTTTGCTTCCCAGAAATTGTTCTTACACAGAAAACGTGGTTCGGTAGTGCAGGGACTCTCCTCCCGCGGAACAAGTGTGTGTTCCAAACCCCTGGATTAGATGGTGACTTTAGAAGCGCATCCGGGCATGACTGGAAGCGAAAACCGTTCCCAGTGAGTTCTGTGCCTCCCATTTTTCAGTTATCGGTCGAGCTGTGCCTACCGGTGCTGGAGACTGTTATGTATCGGAAACAGAATAGGTGCCGCCCGCCCCGTGAAACTGCCTTATTAAGAAGTCCAATTGTTCTTTCAGGATCCTGGCGATGCAGCCCAGCAGGAAGCAAAGCACAGGTATGGGCTGGAAACCCGAACTTTTGGAAGAGCGGTTTCAGCAAATGATTTTTATCGCGTTCGTTGCTTTAATAGGTGCATGTGAATCTTAACGTTTTTCCCGGCATGGTGATTTTTTTCCCCCATAAATCGTCACCAGCGTGTCTTCGTTACCGTTAACTAAACGTGCATGGAGCCCCCACACCCTCCACATCATGCCTGGTGTTGCAGTGATGCTTGTTTCCCTGCCACGTTGTCGTTACCGCAGAATGAGCATAGTCCTAGAACTGTCTCATGGGGATGTCGTGGGGGTGTCACGCGTGGAGTGCCTCACCCGTAGTTCCCAATAAATACTGTTACACTGTCCTTACTGTTATTTTATCCCGATGTGGGGGGTGGGCAGAGCACCTCACTCAGGTGCAGCGTCAGTCAGTGGCAGGTTTATTGAATGAATAGCTGATTACCCCATCATGCTACAATCTTTAAAATTTTGGTTTAGAAGCCGGGCATGGTGGCTTACGCCTGTAATCCCAGCACTTTGGGAGGCAGAGGCAAGAAGATTGCCTGAGCCCAGGGGTTTGAGACTAGCCTGGGCAACATAGTGAGACCTCGTCTCTACAGTAAATCAAAAAAGTGAGCCAGGCGTGGTGGCACGTGTCTGTGGTTCTAGCTACTTGGAAGGCTGAGCCAGAAGGCTCACCTGAGCCCAGCAGGTCAAGGCTGCGGTGGCCATGATTGTGCCACTGCACTCCAGCCTGGGTGACAGAGGGAGACTCCAACTCAAAAATAAATAGATTGATTGTGGTTTAAAAAACCAAATTTACAGCCGGGCTCAGTGGCTCAGCCTGTAATCCCGTGCTTTGGGAGGCCGAGGTGAGTGGATTGCCTGAGCCCGTGGGTTTAAGACCCGCCTGGGCAACTTGGCGAGACTGCATCTCTATAATAAATCAGAAACTAGCCGGGCGTGGTAGCGCGCGCCTGTAGTTCCAGCTACTCGGAAGGCTGAGGCGGAAGGATCAC